TTTTCAATTCAATAGCGTCGGCGCCACGTGAGTCATAAATTCTTCTAACTTTGCTGTCTGAGAAAACGTCTTTTCTCCGACATCTGCTAGCCGCTACAATATCAAATGCTTTGGATAATTATACTTACAATTAGATAACATGCTTCGATAATACTTGATCAAAATCAATAGAGAATAGAATATCAGTCATGGGATGCAGATATCAATTTTCAAACCGGTATTTACCTATAATCCAAATGCTATTCCTGATTACATAAAAACAACAATCAGGACAACGTGCATCTCACATAGAAGATACAAACGAGATGAGAATGAGATGAGATGCATTTTTTTTCTGTTTTTAAATATATGAAAATTTTATGAAATATATATATATATACTTAATATATATATATATATATATATATATATATATATATATATATATATATATATATATATATATATATATATACTTCTTCATTTTAAACATCGATTAAATTTAAAATGTAAAAAATTCTTTTTAAAAACGTGGACCATCACTCCCCGATTTAACCTATTTTAATCAAGTCGCAGTGACAGATATGTTCTACACAAAAAATTTAAATCAAAGATCGGAAAAATTAAAGAACTTTTAAATAAATTCTATTTAAAACATGAATCATAGAATTTTTTCGAAAAATGTTCTTACGTTACGAGTCCCCATGAGAACAAATAAATAAACGTTTTTAGAAATAAAAGTTTCAAAATAGAACTTATAAAATATAAAAATAAACATTTTTCTGTCAAAGAAGCAGATAATTTATTTATCAATATTAAAAAAAGTATTCAATACTCGTAACACATTAAATGTTATTCAATGAATAGTCGAATATAAGTCAACTCGAATATAAAAATGGATTCTTAATTAAATGTTCTAAAATAATTTGTTTCCGTGGAACTTTTATTACACAGATTCTAAAATGTCTGTGCCATGAGAACTCTATTCAAGTATTCCCCTTGTAAGTGTAATACTTTTTTCTATAAAAATTCCACAAAAACAGATACTTTTTTATATGAAATATACAAGAACAAAATTTTTTTAAAAACGAAAAGAAACTGTTAGTTTCGATCTTTGATTTAAATCTTAAAAGTTTTACATCTAAAATGACTCGTCGTTTCTAATTAACTATAGCATAAATTATTTAAAAGTTTGAAGGTAAATATATTTAATCCATGAAGGAACCTTGCAAAAGCATTTTTATTAATTTTAAAATTTTTTTTCAGTCAAAGTTTCATTAAATATGATAATGTAAATTCTCTCGATCTTCTTTTATTATGTATCATAAATTACATTATTCTAAATCCTCTGAATCCCTAAATCCATCTTGTATAGACGTATCACGTATAGTATAGTCTACAATATATAACGTACACCATGACTATCACTCTTTAGAAAAAAAGCTCTACTAAATTAAAAAAAAAAAAAAAAAAAAAAAAAAAAGAAATCTCCATTCTACTGTGAAATGATTCATGAAAAATTCGGGGAAAGAAATGATCTATCCCCTCGTTAGCTCGTTTATCAGTGAAAAACGATGTGTCTTAAAGCAAATCCAAAAGAGATTCATTTGCAGTTTCACCACTCCTCCTTTAAGCTTCTAATTTGCACAAATCTTTGAACTCGCAGAGACATTTCCCCGGATGAAAATAACTCCGTTTCGTATTAATTTCCAACGAATACTCGATACCAACAGGCATCTCTTTTCATAAATCCTCAAGCTCGCGGACATTCACTGTTCGCAAAGAGGAAGGCGGACGGACATCCACTCCGGGTACAAATCCCCGCGAATCGATCGATACTCTTTTAAATTGACCGACATCCCTCGCGAGGAAAATCCCGAATCCCATCCCGTCCCTTCTTCATAATTTCCACAAATCTTCAGCCGGAATCGCGCGATCCGTCCGAAAGCTATTAAAATCCCGTTCGCCGGCCTTCCGGCGAATCTCGACCGTGCGCGGGTGCGGAACGATTTCAAAGCGGGTGAGGAGCGGGCGAGGGTTTCCGATTGCTACCGAATGGGAAAATATTATATCATTTCCAATACGGAAAGCGGGGCCAACGATACGGGAATATTAATACGAGTGCAGTTTCTCTCTCCTCCAGTTCAGTCACGTAGAGAGGCCGCGGCAACATTTCCATGCTCTGTTTCCTTCTGACTCCGCGGGAAAGTTATAGTGGCAATAAGTAAAACGGATTCTCCCTCCCCCCTCCCCCCCCCTCCCCCGGGTAATTTAACTTCGTTAACGTTTACGTACTTTGCTACAGAAGAATCCAGCGCACCAATTGTTCCCTTTCTCTTTCTCTCTTTCTCTCTGATTCTTCGTTATTATGCCCGGTAAGGGTGCCCGATCTCTCATTGGACTACGGCTGCTTCGTTTATTCTGCTGAATGATTCACGTGGAACAGCGTTGGCCAACGTTAATATGGCAAGGGGATGCGAAACTACTTGGATAAATAGGTAATTGGGAAATATTTGATCTGCACCCGTAGTTGTTTACAAACGAGGGAGGAAATCGAATTCTACTAGAATGTAGAATTCCTGTTTGTTTAGAGAACAATCCCTACTTTTTCACTGTGGACTAGAAAATGAAATAGCTCTCACGAGTAACCACGATAGAAAATGAAACGATTTTCAGATTTGTTTGATTGATATCTGGAGCGATAGTTCGCGTAGCTTGCAGATTTCTGAAATTCGCACAAGAACGTCGGATACGGAGACTAAATCTCTTTTTCTCGTATCCGGAATAAGTTTAAAAAATATTAAACTTAAAGAACAATTATATTTTCATCTTTCCTGTTTACAAAGTACAGTCTGTGCAAATATGAAACAGTGGTTATGGATATCTCTGCTTTAATGAAACCTCGAATTCATTCATCGTGCTCGTTCATTGAATCTCAAAAATCCCAAATGTAGAGTCCATGAAATTTCCCCCAATTAATTTCAATTTTTAACGAGCCTGAGGCCAATTTCTTTGTTTCTTTTCCTTCTTTGATCTGAATTTTTCTACGTAGAATCTCGCTTCCGTACGACGGTGAACAACGAAAAATTGCGAAAACAGGCCGGTAAGGAGCGAACAAATCGGATCTATACGTGTTCTCCCTGCTGCGTACTCGATCGTTTCTCTCGTTTTATCGGAGACAGAAGGCCCGATCCGGATTAACTCGAGTCGGGTTTAATACACTTCCGAGTGGTGTTATCGCGCTCTACACGTCCTCGAAGATTAACGTTCGACTAACGAATAACCGAGAACTCTAGAAAGAAAAAGATCACCGAGTATCCGATATGCGATATTTTTGCAATTAAACTCTCTCCAACTCCAAAATATTCAAATCTTCACGTTTATTATTTTTCGAAGCTCCTTGATCGTTTGATCTTCCTAGAGGAACTATGAAGAGAATAATTTTTTCTCTCTTTGTTTAATAAAATTTAATTTCTACACAATTTAAATGAATTTTCCCGAGTTATGTGTAATTATGTTTTACTGTTCTGCACAAGTCTACGATAATTATTTAGGCAATTACGCGGATTTTTATGCATTCATGGGAAATCAGAAGCTGGAAAAATACATACAATGAACAGATTGTGTGATGCATGAATATACAGAATATCGAAAGAAGAGTATTAATTTTATATAATTTATAATTTATTAATTTTTATATAATTTATAATTTATTGTAATTTTATATCCATAATTTTAAGTTCCATTTCGTCAAAAATCTAACAATTGTCAAACATTCAACTGAAAGTTCCAACTAATCGGAGAGTGTTCTATTAAATTCTAAAATCTGCATCCTGCAAAAAAAAAGCACTATTCTCGTGTGGAAAAGATGTTTTATTCACCGAGTAAAAACCTATGATCCCACGATTCACTCTTTCACTCGAAACTTATCGCTAACAAAATTTCAAAGAAAAATTGAGTCACGGGTCGTTGTAAGAGTGATCTCTTAATTTCGTAAGGACTATCAATTCCCAGGGGATCGGATCCCCGCTGAAGCTTTGGCTAAACTCGTCCTAATCTGATCTAATATTTGAGATCGTTCTCCGTGACAGCACAAAGAGAAGTAGAGCGAAGGATCAGACACTCCAAGTATGTCCTTACGGTAGCGAACCAACGTGTCGCGTAATACTACCTTCCAACATTTCGCTTGAAATTCGCTCCAAATCGTTACTCATATCATCAGTTTTTATTTTTCAGAAATAAAGAAACGATTTCAAAGATCTGCTCCATATTTCCTCATCATTGTGTCTCCCATTTAGACTTTCAGAGTTTCGTTTTCAAGAAACTGAAGTGTACAGTGATAAGCAAAACTGAACACACACACGTGGATTTTTTGGAACAATATTTTATCCAATGTTTGCAAAAATAGAATACAAGGAAAGGAAAATATGTACCCTTTTGTAGGATGTTTTGGCTATCCAAAAAAAATTTTCTCATCTTCTTACCATCGTTATTCTGGCAAATGTAAATTGTTTTCGTGGAGTCAATTTTTCACCATAATTTAAACGAAAAATTATCCACAATTTACGTACTGTTATCACTTTGTTAAAAAACATTTTTTTTTTTTTATTAAGATATTTTAACATCACATAACAAAAAACTCAGTCAAAGTAGAAGTGATCAAGAAGATTGTTATATGATTTTCCTTTACAAAGTAACAGTACGTGTTCAGTTATGACTTCTTGCTGTATATAATATCATAATAAATTATTGCTTTTAATGGTTCGTCTGCATGTGTAATTAACCTACATACATCGTCGAGTACAGTCGACAATCATCAAATCCTGTATATATTTATCATAATCGGATCGTGTATTTATTTATTATAAAATTTCAAACTAAACCGTTCTAGCAAATCCTTGGATTTCACGTTGTTTCCAATGCTCACCGAGCGACAATGCGTTTAATATATTCGAAGCTTATCGTTAACGTATTTTATCAAGGAAGTTAGTCACAAGAAACCATGGAAGAAAAGTACTCACCCTTGAGCGCAGCTTCCAGACCACGTAACCTCCCGACGATCGCGGCGAGCTGTGATTTATATTTCAACGAGTCTGTCTCAGATTGCTCGCTGAGTGCGCGTTTCAGCTTCCTATCGGTTTCCTGTTCTTTTATCGCGAGCGCCTCCTGAAGGTGATCGGTGTGCACCTGTTCTTGCAGCTTCAGCTGCCGTCGTATCTCGTCCTCGAACTTTTTCTGCTCTCCCAGCAACTACGATCAGAACGGAGAAAAGTAAAAAAAGGTTAATCTTTCTTTTTTTCTTCTTTATCTTTCCGCAAAGATATTCGTTTCGATGTCGATTGTCGCCAGTTTTAATCGTTTGTTCTATCCCCGCGGTGAGTTGAAACTTTTAATTTTCTTTTCAGAAATGGTGCAACAAAATGTTCCGATGGATTTTTCCTTTTTCATGGGAACCTTCTCCTCGATTAGAAGTTACCAGACCTCAAAATCCGGATGCCGCGTTTACGTTCGTTCCACGAAGATAAATTTCATCGAGGCGAGGCGCGATCGTTTCGAACCCCAAAACTCTTCTCAAAGTACCGCACCCGTAATCCGCCCCTTTACAATCTCTGCCCCTCGCCTCGCTGCACCCTGCTTACACACATAATGAACCTCGTCCCCGAAGATTAAATCGCTAATTGATCGCAAGAGGCGCGTATCTAAGGGCTAACGGAAAATCCGTGACAGCCGGTCTATGCTTGTCTATGTGAAACAGTGATCTCCCCCTAGCCTTCGATCAGGCCAAGCTAATCGAAGGATCTGGCAGCCAGGTATCAACGTTGAACACTTTCCGCTGTATCTGCTGTTCGCTGTTCACGAACGTGTCTCCGTTGCCCTCGACGTAAGTCTGTACCCTGTCGAGTTAGCCGGGTGTTAATTATTGACGAGAGAGAGAGAGAGGGGGCGGCCATGTAGGCGTGTGCAAAACACGTCAAGCGGAAAACGAAAGCGTGGAACGAAGGAGAGTCTAGAGAGGAAGGTGGATCAGAACGAATTAGATGTTCCCTTGTCAATAAGGACGTCGGAGCTTCGAGGCGCGGATAATTAGTCAAAGTCTCAGTCAGTCGTTGACTAAACTAGCCTTTCGAACGATCGATCGCAGAAATTTAGGGGATTGTTTTCGACGCGGGAATCGCTCGACTTTTTTTCCCGCGAAGATCGCTTTACGACGGAATTTATTACATTCTGTATTTTCTTATTTTCTTGTAATAATAGCGCTGAAAAAAAATTTTGTATCTTCGTTGTCTTTTTCTTTTTAAAAAGAGAGAGAAAATTTATTAGAAAATAAAGTAGCCAATAAGTATCTATCGAAATAAATGTCCGAGTTAAAATTCAGTAAAGCGTGCGGAGGAGTAGTATGTAGGACAAAGGATGGTAGTCAACGAAGCTCCTTCTATTTCAAGGCACGCTTTTCGGCAACGAGAGAGTAAACAAGTACAAAACAACCTGGTACTTCGTGTTCCTCGAGTTCCAGAGAATGAAAATATACGCAGAGTGTGAACGTGGAGAAATGCTTAAAAAAGGATTCATGAAATATCGACAAGAATTATTTCCCCGGTTCAACTTCATAATAAATGTGCTAAAAAAAACCTCTCGAATATTCTAAACCTTGCAAATTTCTTAGAGCTTTTCTAAGATAATTTACACATACGTGCATTAATAATTTCTTTTATAGAAAATGTCGAGTTAATTAATTTAGTAAAAAAAAAAAAAAAAAAATACGTAATTCTATTTTAAGAAACATAATGTTAATAATAACAATTATGTAAATCACAAAATTAATTTATATTTGCCAGAATAGCGATGATGTAAGAAGATGACAAAATATTTTTCGGAACATTCTACATACTTTGTTTCTTCTTTCTTTTTTGTATTCTTTTTTGTACTTTTACAAATGCTCGATAAAATATTATTAATGTTAAAAAAACATGTGTGTGTGTGTGTGTGTTGCTCATCAATGCATTATTGTTTCGCTTGATGAGTGTTGTGCTCCCTTTGTTTCGCGTTGTTTCGCGTTAAAGATTGAGCCGAGTGCAGTCTTACTCTCTCGAATCATAAGACATAAGACAGAGAGGGTTGACTTTCAACGAGATCAGAATTATTAAGCTCAGTCGCGGAATATGAAACACTTTTCTCTGCAGCAACTCTCGTCGTCTCGACTCGCTTCTCCAAAAATCTCGCGACCACGGCTAGATTAAACTCCACATCGTCGGCGCTTTACTGAAGACGCGTTATTTATTTTATTTGCAATCCCCCCCCTCCCCCTCGACTTTCGAAATTACAATACAAAATTTTGTGAAACAGATTCCTCTAGAAAGTGTTTATTTCAAACAAATGGATTGCAGTTGGTTCGTCAATTGGGTATTTTAACAGTCAAACTTTTTTTTTTACCTTTACGATCGATACGATCAGTTTAAATTACGCTCAATAAAATTATTTTTTAATTCTACATGTTTTATTTATTGTAAGAAAATAACTTCCGAAGCAAAGAATAAATACTCTATCCACATTTATATATTAAATAAAAATATGAAATAACACAAGAAGGCAAATATGAGATATGAATGATGAGAGGAGTAGTTATCAATGTTTTGATAAAAAAGAAGAAGTAACTTCGCGAAGAACGCCTTAAGGAAATCCGAAATCTGCGGATCAGCAAGTAAAACTATAGCCACCCTGAATAATATTTTCGGACACTTGGCTGTCCACGACAACTCGAAAAAAATCCGCCGCGTGAAAATCGAACGGTTCACGAGAATTGGAAAGAAACGTGAAAAGCACGGGGAGAGGGGGAGAAAAAATACAGAAAAAAAAAAGAAGAAGAAACTAAAACGGATGGAACGAGTGTCTGACGAATACAATGGGGCCATCGAGCGCGCGTTTCCAGTCAGGGCGAAAAGTGCCACCGGAGAAGTGAAAAAACGAAAACTGAAAAAAAGAAAAAAAAGCGAAAAAACGCGCGAAAAACGAAAGAACGCGAGCGAGGGGAGAGAAAAAAAGAAAACAGCAAAAATGTGAAAAATATGACTTCTGACACCACGGCGGTGTTTCCCACGCCGCGGAAATTAAATTAATCGGACGACTGACCGCGCGCGCCAACCAGAAAGAAACTAAAAAAAAAAAAAAAAAGAAGAGAAAGGGAGAAAAAAGAAGGGTAAAAACAGACGCACGCGTATCGAGATCGGACAAAGGGAGATTTCATCGTGCGACGAAATGATCGGCGCGGGGCCGAACGTTGCTAATCCGGTGCATCGTTCTCTAATCCGTTTTGAAAAATCAAAAGCTGCAGCCATCTGCCGCGATAACTGCGCGATGATATAGAAATAGAATCGCGAGAACCGTGACGTGATCTGGGGCTACAGTTTTTCGGATTATAGCGGAACGAGGAAGTCCGAACTCGCGAGAATCTGCCGATTCCCATGGCGAATCGTCCGATCGTGATAAGAGGACCGCATGCGATCGACAATGTTGCCAACGTAGTCTGACAGCAATATTGTTAATCAGTTTCGATCTTTTCGATAGCGCGCGCGATCGATGTTATCGATAATATGTATATTATTTTATACATTGTCTGTACATTGTAAAATTATCCAGCCGACGATATTTATTATGCTGTTCAATGATATTTATTAGTTATTGATTCGAAGCTTTGTTAGTTATAGATCAAAGCTAATTGGTGTCTCATCAATTCGTTATAAAAAGGTAAATTGCGCGTTAAAGCCATGCATGAATCAACACTTTCATCTGCAGAGCTAAAAGTCAATGCAACGAAGTACATTTTACGTGTACAACAAAGAATTTATAAATAATAATTGTGTTATAAATAAAAAATAATAAATAATAATAAATAATAAAATAATTGTGTTATAAATAATAATTGTGTTAATAATTGTGTTATAAAATACACGTTTAAAGGTTCTATTATCGACGACAAATGCTGAATATTCAAAATAAATATGCCCCTGTCATAATGTGTACCTATATCTTTTTTGTATCGATGAATTTTCAAATATTATTTGAGGAAAGGCGAATAGTACGACTTCACTTCATCTGAAGTTAGTAGACACAGATTTTTGGAATGTAACTATCAGAGTTGTAGGATGGTTTAGGAATTTGAAGATTGTTCGATGTCTGTTCACCTTGTCTTTCCTATTACTGATATTTCTCCTTGAACTATTTTTCATAAATCTAGCAACAAACTAGCTTCTCTTATTTCATTCCTGTAATTTCTTTTCGTAGGAAAATTTTCTGAATATATTTTCTTACGCGTGTTGTAGAAAATATTTTGAATTCTCATTTGATACTCAACTATTATGATCATATTGGTCAAGTTTGAAACAAATTTGAATATACATAGATATTACAAAACATTTGATACAAATACATATTTGACAGATATCGTAAATTAATCTATTAATTATTTGTCTCTATTATCACGTATACGTACATATTCATAATAAATATTTTATAAATAACATTTATACAGATTTCCAAATTGGTTTCAAATTTTACCAATATAGTCACGACCAATATAGTCGTGCCTCACATAAAATATTAATAAAACTTCAAAATTTTATGCGACAAATGTAATGCAAGCAACTTCTCAGATGCCAAACTGATCGACTTTACTCTTCACGAATTTTTTTTTATTTCACAATATACGTATAACATTCCCAAGTCCCAAGAAACAAACTATTCGCCGTTATAAGTTCATCCATGGAGAGGAGATTATACGAGTAACAATAAATTTAAAAAATAGCGCAGTTAGTACTAGTCATCCATTTTCCAGCTTCTTTTTTTTCAATTTGAGTTGGTCAATGCAGCTGTTGAATAACTGGCGGTAAGTACAGCAGAACAGTTTCAAAAGCCACTGCATTCAAACAATTTCACACTCGTGCAAAGCAATATCACAGAACAATCTTCCTCGTAAGCCGAAGCTTATATAAACCAACTGTAAACGTCCGGAGCAAAGTGTGTTTTACTGCACTTCGACTCTGGAGTTTGTTCCACGGCGTCATAACGCTACAATAACCACGTCATTTCCCACCGTCTTCGAAACTTCCGGCTTTTCAGGGACGAAACACGGACGGAACCGAATGCTCGCGACGGTTCCTTCCTCGAGAGTTCCAGCTTCCTTAGCGAAATCGACTGGAACGCTCGGGGTTTAATAACACCCCTGGAATCGATTCTTTCGCGATCGATACGTCCATTTCCGATCGATGCTTGAAAAGATATCCGGCAGTAATAGTTTCAGTTTGACGTGGACCATCGGGCCAGTGTCGATAGCCACGAAAGTCGAGCACCGGATTCCAATGCACGAGCCGATATTTTAATATTCAACGGTCACCGATTCTCAACCCTGTGAACCTCTAAACTGACGATGAAAAAAAAATAAAAAAAAAAATAGAGAGACCTCAAGCGATTTTTTTCGACACTTCGATATTCCATCTGCAAAAACGAATTTTCTTCGATATCTATTGTGAAAGTGGCAGAGAGATTTAAACGAAACTGAACCATGGTTAAAAATCAAAGTTGAACTTTGACCATGCTGTATTTTTCTTTTCTTTTCTTTTTTTTTTTTTTTTTTTTTTTTTGTTTTTTTCGA